TTGACGAAAATGTGGTGGTATTCATGTCCCGGATCGCAATGGCGTTGAAAAAGGGCTCAAGGCGACGCAAGATAAGTTGCTAGACCTACTAGGTCCATTGGGCAAGATCCTGTACTTCACGGGCCTTGCCATGGCCCAGGGCACACAGCTCGACCCGAGTGCGGTCCGGGAATGGGCCCAGAGGCGCATAGGTCTACTGGGTAATACAAATGCTGCCCTATGCACCCAAAGACGCAGGGCTGCCCTCCTGCGCATTGACACCAAGTTGATGAACATGTCCTCCAAAGAACTAGGTCCAACGGCCAACGGCCTCCTGTTTGGAGATTCCTTTGTTGTAGAGTTGAACAAACATGTGTCATTGTTTGCTACACTTAACAAGGCACAGTCATCGATGCGGCAAGTGTTCCGCCCACCTCAAGGGAGAGGTGTTTTTGGACGGGCTGGTCGGCAATGGAGCCGGGCCACAAGCCACTTCTGGTCTACCGGTTCCAGATCCAACCCACCATCATTGTCCTTCTACCCATCATCAGCACCAAGGACTACATCCTTCTATTGAGGGCCGATCAGACCCAGAGGCTCCAGAGGCAGAGGCCGTTGACAGTTTACCACAGATGGGTCCCTTTGTATTTTACCAACCAGATACTTTCACTGCTGGCAGACTGTCCCTTTTCTTGCAGAACTGGGAAGAAATCACCACAGAAGCATGGATTTTACAGACGGTGAAGGGTTATGTAATTGACTTCATTGCTCCTCCACGCCAACCTCACCCTCTACCTCCACTTCGTGTTTTCGCAGAACACGAGGCCCTGATAGATGACGAAATTCGGTCTCTGTTCTAGTTTATTGACACTTCAAAATGGAAGGGATTCACCTGTTGTGAGACCTTCTACTAGAAGACGACTAGTTCACCCAGTTAGACTTAAAGGAAGTGTACCAATCGGTCCTGGTCGAACCTTCCTGTCGCAGATTTCTATGATTCTGTTTGCAAGGTCGATCGTGCCAGTTCACCTGCCTCCCCTTTGGGCTCAGCTCGGCTCTCTGGTGCTTCACGAAGCTACTGAAACCAGTTATGGCTTGTCTAAGATCTCCGGGAGTAAGATGCATCATCTATCTAGATGACTTGCTGATTTTCTGCAACTCAGTTTCGCAACTGCGATCTCAGATGAACTTTGCTGTAAGCTTCATCGAATCCTTAGGCGTCATCGTCAACCAAGAAAAATCAGCGTTGACACCCACTCAAGAAGTACAGTTCCTGGAGTTCGAGATAGACTCCAAGACTTGTGCTCTACGACTGCGCTGCAGGCTTTTTAGAAGGGAGCATTGTTAACAGATATCATGCGCTCCGCCGACTGGTCACGGGAAGATACCTTCAGGGTATTATAATTTCGTCCTTCTCCTCAGGCTTCTTTTGCTCTTCTTCCTTAAGCGTTAAAAATACAAAATAGGAAGCCTCCTGTCATGTGGTAAACTTTTAAATTATGCTAACATAGTGTACCTATAATCTTAATTTTAGTAATGACAGGAGGCAAGTATTTCCCACCCCTGTTTTCTCTGTCTATCTTTATTTCCCGCCCTTGGGGTTTATATTTTGCTTATGATTGGGTTTATTTGTGATGTAGTAATATGAAAGTCATATGGTTTGGGGGTTATACTGTATGTCTTAGTATCTATTTTACATATAGTTAGTTATGTTACGATTATTACTGAATAAAGGTTTTATTATTGAAGTAGTGATATCTGTCGTTTATGTTGACATGACACCATGGCTCTTGCCTTTCACTTCATGTTTTTTCCAGGGTAAAACTCATCATTTTCCAAGTTGGATCATTGATTCAGTGTCCACCAGTTTTGCAGTTTAAAATTGGTTGAGAGGGTTCTGAGTTCCTGTCATGGATTAAATGGTTCATCTATCCATCTTGCATCAAAGAAAGAGGAAGAATGTGGGCGGACTCAGCCTTATATATCCAGTGTTTCTCAGTTTTGATTGGTTTATCTTTATATGAATATTCGCTGCTGGAGTTTTAAGTAAAGAATGTAATGCAAAATACTCACCTCCTGTCATTACTAAAATTAAGATTATAGGTACAGTACTTTAGCATAATCTACAATTATTAAGGAATATTTTCTTTAAGCCAGCTGAAGAAAGCCCAGTTCCCATTGCTCAAGAAAGATTGCATCTATTAGTGTAACATATGGGGGACATGAACTTAGACAATAAAATATCAACAGGTAAAAATAATTGGGATCAAACCTATAACAAAGTAATTGAATGGTGGATTATATTCTTAAAAGGATGTTAGAGGAATTAAAACAAAATTATTTGTGAAGTCTTAACATGATACGGTCAGGAATACATGTTTGTGTTCCAGGACCTATAGTGTTCATTTAAATCAAAATAAATTGGGCTATGTGGGTCCCTAGGGACCATAGACCGTTGTTACAAATTGCGTGCCCAGCTATTGAAAACTCCTTGAAAATTTGGGACGCAACATCGTCAAAATATGGTTTGTCCCCCCGCATGTCTCCGTTAACCCCTTACTTGAGGAATAAAGCGTTTCTCCCCAGGATGGAAGCAATGGACTTTAGAGACCTAGAGCGCACTTGGGTACAGCGTTTATACCATCTATATGAGGGCGGTTCGCTTATATCATTCGAGGACTTAAAAACCAGGGCCCCTTTACGCCCGTCGTTGAATGGCAGGATTTCTGGGAAGCTGCGGCGACCTCATCGATATGTGTCTCCATGCAGGAACAGGCTTATAAAACCATGTTCAGGTGGTACGCCACCCCGGTAAAGCTCTGCAGAATGAATAAAATTTCTACAGATTTGTGTTGGAGAGGGTGTGGCCAAAAAGGGACTTATCTTCACATGTGGTGGGATTGCCCAGAGACACAAAAATACTGGAAACAGATTGTGGAACTATTGCGGGATATCTTTGGCAGAGAGATCCACCTGGACCCCTGGGTATTCCTCCTGGCCAGGTCTATGGATGACTGGTCTAGAACGGAACATAAATTAATACTTAAAGTAAACTTGGCTGCTAGGAGGGTTTTAGCACAGGTTTGGCTACAGAGAGAGATTCCCTAACTCATTCTGGTAATAAAAAAAATTAAAGACACTTTTCTCAAATTAACAACAAATTAACCGCGCAGGTCCGAGGTAACTTACCGAAATTTGAAAAGATCTGGGGCCTGTGGGTAGATAGCGGAGTTGGCGATTAGGAGATGGGGGGGTTGGGCTTGTCCCCCCAGCACCCCTGTTTCTGTAGCTGACCTATATTAACTTTGGACTCACCCAGCCTGCACTCCTGCAGAGGATTGATCGGGATCCCACAGGCAGACTCACACGATCTGGCCAGACTCACACGATCGTGGCACGCCTATGGTTTGAGTCCTGCAGGAACAGCGTTCCTGCACTTTTTTTGAGCAGGAACGCTGTTCCTGCAGACACTCAGCACCGTCCTGCAGACACTGTCTCACCTCTTGCCCCTGTCATGGGGGGGGGGGGCAAGAGGTGATGGATCCCCCCCCCCGCTCTCCAGCTCAGCCGCGGCGAGGGAGCTGTCTGCTCTCTGCTTCCTCTCGCCGCGCTCTGATGCTGGGAGCCAGAATATGACGTCATATTCCGGCTCCCAGCTACTGTAGACAGCCCGCGCGGCGAGAGGGAGCAGAGAGCAGACAGCTCCCTCGACGTGGCTGAGCTGGAGAGAGGCGACCGCCCCACTGGACCCCAGGGACAAGTCCACGCCAGCACTCGAGGTAGGAGGCTGGGTGGACATTTTTTTTTAATTAAAATATAATAATTTGTTCTTGTGTGTATGTGTGTCTGTCTGTGTGTCTCTGTGTGTGAGTGTGTGTGTCTGTGTGTCTGTGTGTGAGTGTGTGTGTGAGTGTGTCTGTGTGTGTGTCTGTGTCTGTGTGTGTGTCTGTGTCTGCGTGTGAGTGTGTGTGTCTGTGTGTGAGTGTGTGTCTGTGAATATGTGTCTGTGAGTGTATGTGAGTGTGTGTCTGTGTGTCTGTGTGTGAGTGTGCCAGTGTGTGTCTGTTACTGCGTGTCTCTGAGTGTATGTGTGTGTCTGTGTCTGTGTGTCAGTGTGTGTTTGTGTGTGTGAGTGTGTCTGTGTGTGTGTGTGAGTGTGTGTCTGTGTGTGTGTGTGAGTGTGTGAGTCTGTGTCTGTGAATGTGTGTCTGTGAGTGTGTGTGTGTGTCTGTGTATGTGTGTGAGTGTGTGTCTGTGTCTGTGTGAGTGTGTGTCTGTGAATGTGTGTGTGTGTGTCTGTGAGTATATGTGTGTGTGTGTGTCTGAATGTGTCTGTGAGTGTGTGTGTGTACGCATATATATATATACACACACACACACACACGCAGAGCCGGCGCTATCTGAGTGCCGGCTCTGCTCTAAGCCTCCATGGGCCGGCGTGGAGACCAAAGATCTACCTCACTGGTCCACAGCAGCATGGAGGGAGGCAGGAGAGGACCCAGGGAGCTCTAGACAGAAGCTCCGCCAGGTTCCTCTCATGATATCTGAGCGTTGCTGCGGCAACGTTCAGATCTCATGAGAGTTAACTCTAGCCCCGCAGGCTAGAGTTCACTCTCCACTGGACCACCAGAGATGGCACATGGCAGCAAGGTTTTACTAATCTGCCAAATCCCTCCAAACATACAGCACACACACATACAGCACCTACACACATACAGCTCACACACACACAGTACACTAACCGCACCCTCACAAACAGACACAGCACCTTTAAAAAAAAACCAACACCCTCACACACAGCACACTAACAGCACCCTCACAAACACACACACAAACAGCACCCTCACAAATACACGACACTCACACAAACAGCATCCTCACAGGACAAACATACACACACAAACACCCTCACACACAAACAGCACAGTCACAAACACACACACAAACACCCTCACATCACACTAACAGCACCCTCACACACACATCACATTAACAGCACACAGCACACTAACAGCACACACAGCAGTGTATGTGTGTGTGTGTGTGTGTGTGTGTGTATATATATATTTATATATACATATATATATAGATACATACACACACACACGCGCGGCGTGTGTTTGTGCTTTAGGGTGCACACCCTAATGCAATAGGCTGCGCACACCTATGGATCTGGCCCAATTACACAAACGTTGTGATATGGCAAAAAATTATGGAGTCACATTGTAAATAGGTCGCATAGACCTGCAATCGCCAAGACTTTACCCACTATCTTTCTTCAACTAAACTATGAATATTATTATTTTTATTATGCAGGCCTAGCTCAAAACTTCCAGGTGCCGCATGTAACCAACGGGCTTATCTGGAGACCGGTAGGGCCATCCCATACATTTATGGGGTTACTGATTGCACAGTTGGATTTCAGCAAAGATGGGTAGCTCGAGGCCATACACATTTCAAGTGAAAACAATTATGAAAGCCTATGTGAGTGACTATGGCCTTGATTTAATACTTTTGGATAATTTTTTTAAATGGTTTGATATTTTAAAACATATTTTAAGATTTTGAAATTTTGTGATATATATTTTATTGTCCTAATGAAAGTACCCTAGGGAACTGAAACATCAACTTTATTTTGCTATCTATCTATCTATCTATCTTTTTTTATATTTTGAAAAAAAAAAAAGCATTTTAAAAGTGTATCAAAGAATTTTAGATGGCGGTCTGTGTTAGCTATATATAGTAAATGGCATTCATATTTCATACATTACACATACAGATGAATTTTTTAAAAAGAAAAGATTCAAATCTTGTCATTAACAGACACACTGAAGCCTCTATCAGCTCTGTTTGTGGGACAGAGCCCTGTGAGGCTCAATCCGTGGACTGCAGCATTGGCAGTGGAAAGTAAACTCAGACAGCTAGTCCTTCCATAGTGTGTCTGCCATTTACAGGTGACCAGTACAAGAGCAAAAATAAACACCAGGTGACAAGTGTATCTGATATTTCTTATAACTGTACATGAATGCCCAAATCTAGCTGATGACAAAGAAGGGGTTACGTTGGAACAGTTGGTCTTCTCTTGCTGGATTTCTCCTCACTAACCCAATTAAGTTAGAAATAACAGCCCAAAAACCCAGCAGTCAAGGGATGGCCCTCAGCACCTTTATTAAAAATATCTATGGACAATAGTAGGTGTTATCTTTCCTAAGTCACAACAACCAGCTATAAACCAAAGACTGTGTAGGTCTAAGGGATTTTCTTCTGAAATAACCACATTTAAGGTATGTAGGAGATTTATCCAGTTACTGGCCTGAAGAACAAGCAGAAGTCAGATGAAGTTGAAACATACCATTATGTGGACAATATTGACACCTACAGATAACTGGTGCATATCCTAGATTTTGGCTACCCAAGGGTAACTAGATACAAAGTCAAGATTTGATTGACTAGGAATATATTCATTGTGTGGCTATATATGTGTTGTATAGGAAGAAAACAGGACAACATCAAGATAACAGGGACACCACCATTTTTACACATACAGCCACTATATTAGTGTAGAAAGATTAAATTAGCCTTGTATGCCAGGCGATTTTCTTACCATTCATGACACTGGTATAAGCGTAGATTATTGAGTAGAAAAACTTTAAAAACAGTAATATAACAGTATAAACTTAAATAGGCCTCCAGGAACAGGCAGACATTTTGACTTTAATTTAATATTTAACTGAATGTCTCCCTTTTCTTCTGAAAGCTGGATTCTTTAGTCATAATAATATATACAGTTGTCAATAACATCAAATCGTTCTACTGAAAACCACACATTTTTTATTACATAAACCTAATTGCCAGTAAATATTTTGTAAATCACTTGCTTGTTGTAAATACTATATACTTTTGTGGTGTATATGTGTCTGTCTGTCTATCTATCTATCTATCCATGTTTCTATATACACATAGATTGTGAATACCGATCATTGTCACCAAAAAACATCAGTTTTGCTTTTCTTTATTTTAATTGCCATACCACCAATCAATTTCAAGAGGTTAAAAAAAGCTAGAACAATCTTACAGATTTAATGAAAGCAAGGCCCAAATCCTCATCACCCCAGCATGGTAATTGAGCAGATCTATTAACTTGTTACACTAGATTTGTTTAAAGAGACTATTACACAGTCATTTAATCAATTTGTTACACTGGAGGTCCTGACTTATGAGACACTTGCCTTATGATTTCTTAATGACTGAATTAATTTGTTTTAATAAAATCAACGTTGTGTACAAGTACTTTTCCAGAAAATGTAATTTTATAAGACAGAATAGGCTAATGCCTCATCTGATTATGCCTCTCTCCATAGGTTTATCAAACTATGCAATTTCCATCATAGCTCCATGTATGGGATATTTTTCTTCCTTATGGTGTCATTAATTTAATACGGATTATTAACTTCTTATACGCACACATGTTCTGACAAATGTACCCAATGAATAACGCACCTAGTGCGTTCGGCGCTCAAATGCATCACATCATAAATAGCAATTTTTGAAATAAATAAATAAATAAAATAAATAAAAACAAAACAAAAATAATAATGATGAAAAAAAATCCCCATAGTAAAATTCTGAGCTATTACTCTAGAGACTTGTTTCCTAGCCACAGCTAAGATTAAATTCCACTCACTTAGAGGCACAAACAAAATCGCTATAATAAACACACATATATTTATTTTATGGGGAATTAAGGTTATCTTGAGAGCATATATAGGACAAGAAAATCGGTTTTGCTCTTGATGGAAAGTGACTTGTGTGGAATTGATGTTAATAAACACGAGGTCTCAAGGAAAAGGCACTTGGTTGTATTGATTATGTAAAATAATTGGTGCCTTGCAAATGTTAATGTACTATGTTAATGTACTACAAATGGCTTTTGCATCATGATCTGACTTTTAAAAGCCCTGTGCTCTTCTCATACAACTTTCTGATAAATAAGATTGTGCACATTCCTCTGCATTCAAATCTGTGATCCGACTTTTCCTATGATAAAGTAACTGATACAAATGATAATTGGATGAACTTAATGTAGGCATTTAAACAGTTAGCTAACATAAGCAGTCGGCAGAATGATTGCCTGAGTGGAATGATTATTTCAGTGCCCAAATGGGTTTGGGTAATGTGTACAGCTACACAAAAGCCAAATATTAATTATATAGTTTCCAAATTATACAGCATGGGAAGAAATTGTATCTGTTTCTAACAGATGCCTTATGAATAAGACTTAAAGTGGAACTGTCATTTCTCAGGAATTTTTGTTCTGTTTGCTTATATTTGCTATATTTAACAAAGATTTAATGATGGGGCCTAAAAAATAAATTAAAAGGTAATA